CTGCCCGGCTATTCTCCACCTGAACTAGTTTGTGGAACCAGAGGTTTGAACTCGGACATTCTTTTCTTGTGCCTTGCATAATGCCACTGATCTTTCCTGGTATGTATTTCTGTATTTTTCATCTCTAAAAGTTCATTTTGAATCTTTTAAAAATTAGCCTTCATATACCCAGCAAATGTAGTTCCTCCAGATTCTTGGACGTATAGAATATGATTATAACCATTGACTTGGGCAGGCCCCGGCACAGTGGCCCCCAAAGGCCCTGCCGATGAGGGGCTGTTGCTGTAGCTCAGTCGCCAATCGTGGTCTCTTTACCTTACCCTTTCATCTGACTCTTTTGTTTGGTTAGGAGTTTTGTTTTGTTTTGTTTTGTTGAGACGGGGCCTCACTAGATAGTCCTAGCTGACCTGGTACTCACTTCTCTAGACCAGGCTGACCTAGTACTCACAAGAGAACCAACCCCCTGCCTCTGCTTCCTGAGTGCTGGAATTAAAGGTGTGTGCCACCACACCTGACGTCCAGGTCTTACTTAAAGCTTCATTCATTAGACAGGAATTTTGCCTTACCTGAGTTGGAATCCTTTTTGTTGTTGTTGTTGTTTTCTTTTCTTAAGGTGTATGTATTAGTTGACTGGTGTCAGGTTGAAGCTTTTGTGGTCAGGTTGTTAAGGGCAGTGACCCACTGTTTCAGCTATTTCTCTAGGTCACTCTGTTCTAGGTAACAAATGAAGTCATGCTTGGAAATGAGCAGTGCACGTAATGCTTTAAGTAAATCACTAAATAAGTCAATAAATCAGTATCTAATAATTTGTCTCTTCTACTTTAGTCTACTGAAATCTCAAAGAGGACTTGGGTTCAATTCTCAGCACCCACATGATGACTCACAGTCACCTGTAACTCCAGTCCCAGGGCATCCAACACCCTCTTCTGGCTTCCACAGCCACTGCACACATGTGGTGTACACACATACATACAGGCAAGCACTCGTACACATCAAATAAAAATAAAAGAAAAAATTCAAAAAGAAAGTTTCCAGGGACTAGAGCAATAACCACCCACATGATGGCTTATAACCATCTGTAACCCAGGTCCAGGATATTTGACCCTCCCTTCTGACCTCTGTGGGCACTAGCATGCATGTAGTACACATACAGACATGAAGGCAAAATACTCATACACATCAAATAAAATAAATCTAAAAACAAAAGAAAGGTAAAGAGAAAAAAAAAGCACCTATTAGGTCTTGTAAAATAACTACCCATTATGTCTTCTTGGGCCCTAGATGAGCAATATGATCTCTTTAGGATTGAGCTAACTCCTGCCAAACCTGGACAAAGAGAATTTATGAACTCACCAGTGCGTTAGAAACAGAGAGTAATCTCAGGGTAGCATAAAGGATCACACAAAGAGAGCAAAAACAGCTTGGCAAGGCAAGGCAATTTCTTTTTTGTAAGAAGGATGTACAGAACCAAACTGGGCTAGGAAGTGAGTGAAAAAATGAACTGAAGAAAGCCATGACTCCTCCTAGAGTGTGGAGATGGAGGAAGAGCCCCTGCTGGACACGGCTGGCGGGCTAACCCAGACCATGGGAGGAGAAGCAAAGCAAGAGAGCAGCCACCAACCGAGAGAGGCAGCCCAGGCTAGCCAGAATGGCTGAGTATAGATCAGGTTGGGGGAAGGGAAGTGGGTGTCCAGTCCTGGAGGGAGAGGTTTAGGGTCCGGGAGGGGGAGGCGTACTGGGAGGAGCCACAGGTGAGTGAGGCTTGTCCAGGGTCTGGGACCTAACAGGAAGCATACTTGGTTGTTATTCTAACACTGGTGGTCACTGTGTCTTCTGATTGGCTGGGGTCCAACCTCACAGCTTTCGAGACTGGCTCATTTAAAAGAAACCAGCACAAAGGAAATGATAGAAAAGGGGGAGGGACGAGTTCTGTCAAGTTCTGGGAATGCGGAGGGAGCTTTGTGTAAGGAAACTTGACCAGGTGGCGGAGATTAAAAGATTTGCATACAGATTTTACAAGGTAGGGAGATTTTTTTTAATTTTTTTTTTTCACAAATGGAGCAGATATATCAAATTATTTTAAGATCTATCCTCTGAAGATGCCCAGTAAGGGAATGTGAATGTTGCTTCTCCACATCAGCTGACAGTATGTATGCTTGTTGTTTGGGTTTCTTTTTTTTTTCCCCCTTTGGTTTTTGAGAGACAACATTCTGTGTAGCCCTGGCTAGCTTTGTACTCACATGTTGCCCAGGCTAGCCTTAAACGCCTGGCAGTCCTACCGCAGCTCCAGAACGCAGGAATTATAGGCGTTTTCTGAGGGGCCACACCCACTCTTTTTTTCTCCTCATTCTTGTGCCGCTTCTCTGTTTGAGCTCTTATGTGCTTCCTTTCTCCGTGTGAGGCTCTGCAGGTTATCTGAGCCTCCCTCCCCCAGCAGAAGGATCAGCATGCGGTTACATAAGTACACCTGTCAGTGGTGTCCAGTTACTGCTACTGGTGTCACTGGTGAAAGCCTGGTCCCTGCAGCCCCAGTGAGCCAGCAGGACATCTTCAGCAAACAGCTCTGGGTTATGCTGAGCACCTCCTTCCGAGTCTACGGGGTGGGGTGGGGTCAGCGGCAGATGCAGTGAAGCAGGGCTTTCCTGTGGCTTCCTCCTTTGTTTCTGTCAGAAGCAAAAAGAATGTTCTGGGTGTCACACAAAGTGAGTAGCCCAGCTAGCCAGCTCTTTTGTAAGAAAGGTGCACCAAGACCACACCAGGCTAGCCACACATTGGGACTGGACGTTGCTTGCTTTTTATTCTAACACAGGTGGTGTGTCTCAAAAGACTGACCTCAGAGCCTTTTGAGATTGGCTAATTTTT